CGGATTTTAATATTTTCATTTAGTGTTAGTTTAAAGCTTTGGTTTGGTGTTTTAACACAAAATTAGTTTTAATATTATTTCATTTACTTATTAAAGTACTTTAATTTAGGTAACAATTTTGTTTTTATTTTTACTTTTTTTTTATTTTTTTAATACTTTGGTTTAGTGTTTTAGCCCAAAAATTAATTTCTTTAATTTCTTTATACAAGTCACTTTAAATTAAATTATAAAATATTCAGTAATTCAATTTTCCACAAGGAAAATGAAGAACTCTTATCGGTATATTAACTAAAAATAATTTTCCGGTCAACATTATAAAATCCTTCATAAAAGAAGAAAAAACTATTGAAAATACAAAATCGGAGAGCGAAGCAAAAACTTATGTATCAATGACTTACAGACTTACATATCAATAAATAACATACCGAAAACTTTCAGAAATCTGAATGCTTCAATAAAGCAAACTAGGGTCGCCAGTGGTCGAAATTCGACCAATAGAAAATACAATTTATTTATTTTAATAGTATTTAAATTTTATTGATGAATTTGATTAAAATATGAACAAAATCTAAAGAAAGTTGTAGAAAACAATTTAAAAAATAAATTAAAATTTATAATTTCATCTCGTGCAAAATTATTTGTTGTGTTTCTGGTTTTGGCTTAATTCTTCCTTGTATTATCAATCCAATCAAATCGTTTAATTTAAATTTGTCGTCATATGTGACCACATATGCACCTGCGAAAAAAGAAAATAATTAGTATAAAATATGAAATATGATGAATTGTTTGAATGAAATACCGATAAAATTTCGAACTGATGCTCCATTTTGAAATCTTTTCAACAAATAAATTATCTTAACATCTGCTCCGTACATTTGTTCTTCAGGTGATATCGGAAAGTTATCAGTATAGGAATCAGCAATTTTGTAGAACAGCACCTTCTTCTAAAGAAATTCGAAATTCTGACGCAATTTATTGCGTCAATTTATTGCATAATTTCGACAATGCGACTTTGCACAACATCTCGCTCCCGTGTTAATTATCAAACAAATTCCTATACTCTGCCATCACGAAATCAAATCGCGGTATGCAGTGAAGGCAAGAAACAAAGAAATGAAATTGGCAAATGAACGAATGAAAAAAATTTAATATTGAAAAACATTCAAACTGAATGAAATCTAAAATGATAATAATGCATAATAATAATTCTATATTTTATATCACGAAGTTCTCAAAACTTCAGTGTAAACAATATTTTTTGTAAAAACCCTTTCATCATTAGCCAAATGACCTTGTCCACCTTCATTACTGACTTAAAATTTAAGTCCGTCAAATGATCTAACTCAACTGGCTGCAACGTAAAGTTGACCATGCGAAAAAACAGGTCTCCTCAACAATATTCCAACTCTATCAAATGTCTGTCCTTGGGATTTGTTAATTGTCATAGCAAATGCGCTGATGACTGTGGAAACTGTGTTCTTTGAAAATTAAATGGCAGTGCAGTCCCTGAATACGTCAAGTGTATGCGTGGAATCAAAACACGTTTTCCGCGAGCAACTCCAGTGAGTACTTCACAATCTATTGTGTTATTATGCATTGCTTTGACTCGCAGCAATACCACTAAATGCACACGAAATACAGCGAAGATTAAGGGAATTTAATTTACGAATTATAGCCGTTTGTGTGAATGTTTTCCCACAACCTGCATGGGATGTCAAACAAAACACATTTGATCCTGTATCGTAATACTGAACTTCACGAATAACTTTATCAATAGTATCACGCTGTTCATTATTTGCGCAATCATAAAGCTCATTAAATAAACATTCTTCTACGAAAGGATCAAAAATATCGAGATCAGCAAATTCTGGCATTATTGTAGGTGTAGGCAAACCAAGTGACGTACATGTAACATTATGTGTTAACAAAATATCCTCGATTTCCAATAATACTCTATTAAAAGAAACATCTACACTACAACCATCTCTAACGAAATCTTCGCTTAAATGATCTCTAAATTCCACCCAAAGCGCTAATGCATTTGCTGGAATATTGAAGGCACAATTAATCGCAAACAAATTACGCATTTGTTTT